GTAATCAGTGTTTTGAGCTTTGCATCTGATACATTGCTTATCTCCATTTCATTTAGCTTTTTTTCCTGGAGTTTTGATCTGTTCTTTCATTTGGGCCATGTTTCTTTGTCTCCTCATTTTGGCAGCCTCCTGTGTTTGTTTCTGTGTATTAGGAAGAGCAGCTTTGATTCCATGTCATGGTAGTGTGGCCTAATGTAGTAGGTGTCCTGTAGGGTCCACTGGCCCAGCCTCCCCTATCACTGAAGCTGGGTGCTCGAGGTGCACCTTTCATGTGGACTGAATACACCTTTCTCTTGTAGTTGAACTTGAATTGCTGTTGGCAAATCAATGTGAGGGAGTTACCCAGGCCAGTCAGCTGCAAGGACTGGCTGTGACCACTTACCACTGACCTCTGCCCTTTCATGGAGGATCAGCTGTGAAGGGGCAGGGTGGTGGTGCTCTGATGTGGTCTGTAGCTGTCCACTGGGTATGCAGGCTCTGGAATTTCCCAGGCAGTGCAGGGCAAGTTCAGCCCTCACCTGTGTTTTGCTGGAAGCCACCCTGCCTGAGCTATAAAGCAATCTGAGATGGCTGCTACTGTGCTGGGCTTGGAGCTTCCCCACTGAAGCCAAGCTATGAACCTAGGCTGGCTGCTGCTAGTGCCAGGCGTGGGGTTCACTGAGGTCAGCTGCTGCTTATTTGAGAGGATTTAGGAAGTTGTGAAGCATGAGCCAAGACCAGCCATTCACATGGAAAAACATCTTCTGTGGGCCTGTAAGTTGTGTGGGGCCAAGTCTCTGGCGATCTCCAAGGTGGGTCAAACACTTTTAGCCAGGTTGATGGCACTAGCTTGCAGGCTCTGGTGGAGAGGAGAGTTTAGAAAAGGGACAAGGGCCTCTACTCACCTTGATGTCAGACACTTCAGTTTCTCCCTGTGTACCACTGGTGCCCTTCAAGCTGCCACCTCAGTGCTGGAGCTCAGATGGAGTGAGTGTGAGGAGGTAAGTCTGTGTGTAGATTCTTTAGGAGGAACTGCTTGCAGCAGTTTATTCCACTGACTCAATCCCCGGTCGTTTTTGCAGCCAGATGTTGTGGGGACTTACCTTCTTGAGACTGGAATCATGGGCTGGGATTCCTTGTTCCCAAGATCTCTCCCAAATCTTTATCCACCACACATGGGTGTGGGACCAGCCTGTTTTGCATCTGCACCCCTCCTACTGGTCTCGATGAATGCGGTTTCTTTAATTCCATAGTTGTCAGACTTCCACTCAACTCGATTTCTGACAGTTCTGAGTGATAGTTGTTCTATATTTTTCTTGTAATTTTGATGTGGTTGTGTGAAGGGGTGAGCCATGTCTGCCTACAATGCCATCTTGACCAGAAATCCCCAGATTTTCCTTTAGACCAGGGGTGTCAAACTCATTTTCAACGGGGGCCACATCAGCTTCGAGGTTGCCTTCAAAGGGCCGAGTGTAATTTTAGGGCTGTATAAATGGAACTATTCCTTAACTAGGGGCAAGGAGCTCGGCAAGGCCGCCAGGTAGGAACAAAGTGCCAGGCTGGATAAAACAAGGTAGAGGGCCAGATTCAGCCCTCGGGCCTTGTGTTTGCCACCTGTGCTTTAGACTGTGTGCAAGAATCCAGTAGCCATGCTTCCCATGACTAGACTATCCCCAGCTCTGTACCTGGAAGTGCCATAGGCCTTTTCCCCATCTTTCTTGGATACCTAGTATGAGCCAGGTATTATTCTTGGCATTGTAACAGGCGCACCACTTTATTCTCGTGAAAGTCAATTGTATTATAATTACTTTGATGAGGTTAACTGCCTAGTATCTTCAGCTAGTAAATTTGAGAACCTGCCTGATCCCAAACTCCACACACTTTCTATCCCACACTTGATTTACTTTGAAGTCTCCTATGCTAAATCCAGAATCCCACCTCCATTTTCTGACACCAAGCCCCCAGTTCAGCCTTCAAGAAATCTTCATTACGTGCTCAGTTCAGCTTAGAAAAATATCCCACCAAAATGCAGCAAAGAGCCGCTTCTGGCCTCCTGCCACCACTTGTTTTATTTTGCCTGAGAAGCCTTTCTTCGTTCCCAATTCCACCCAAGAGGCAAGGCCCACCTTTTCTAACTGGTTTCTCTTCACTTGCACTGTATGATGGTATTGTCTCTTCCTGGGACAGAGTTCCTTAAAGGCAGAACCTGACTTATGGGCTTGTTGCAACATTGTGATTACATTTGTCTTCATTCTCACAGCTCCCAGAACCTTTGGATTTCCTAAGTGTAGAAAGTGATAAAGGTGTTTTGTTATGTAAAGGAATGACTTTTGGACCCACCCCAAGGGTGGGGGTTGGTTGCTGGAAGAGCCTCGATAAAAACCCAGAGGACAACTTATTTGGCCTTTTGGGGGAGGGCTTTCACACTGGAGAACCAGAAAGCTTCTAGGTGCCACTCTCACCGGAAAGCGAACAAGGCCTGGGTGGGTCTGCCTCAGGCCCACTGGTAGGGTGTGGGTCTTGACTTTGTGCAGGGAAGATTTCACAACACAGTCCGAGGCGATTTTGAGAGTATTTATTAAAGCTGGGGACAGTGAAGCAAGGGAGGGCTTAGGGAGAAGCAACGGAGGCTTCGGCTCTGCAGGAATGTTACAGGACAGGAGTGAGCCAGGGCGGGGCTGCTGCTGTTAGCTTGTGGAAAAGTCAGAGAAAAGGGGTAGGCCCAGGACCAGCTGCCGCTGCCCATTGCTCCCCCAGTTGTAAGTGGGGTCCTTTAACATCCAGGAGAGAAAAGATGCATGCCTGAGAGGGGAGCAAGTCACGGGCAGGCTCCCAAGATCGAAGTGCTTGAGGGTTCTCATCTGTTTTTTAAAGGTGGGAAGTTTAGAGGATGATCTCAGTAGAATATTTATCAGATCTATTCTCCAGATTTCAACCACCCTTGGGTGTGATTGGCACAAATGGCACTAACTGGATTTCTGCTATCTATCTCCCTAAGTGGGGTGATTTAAGCTATTTACTCTCTGGGCGGGAAGAAGTAGAAACCATTTCGCAAGCGTCTTTGTTTAGGGAAGATAGGGTTTTCCTATTTACCATGTGGCTGTCAACTGCTTGGCTGTTTAATTGTCTCCATTTCCCTATTCCACTTGTCTTGGCTTACTAACCTGTCTCTTCACCATGCTGGGCCCCAAACTCCGTGAGGACAGAGCTCCTTGGTGTGGACTTCAACCCATATATCTATTCATCTGGCTGTTGATGTGTAACCTTTAATATCCTTTTTAATAAATTGGTAATTTAGTGAATAGTTGGGTTTTCCTGAGTTGTGTGAGCTGCTCTAGCAAATTAGTCTAACCAGAGGAGGGGTTTGCCGGAACTTCTGATTTATAGCTACTTGGTCAGAAGCACAGGTGATCATCTGGGCTTGCAACCGGCATGTGAAGCAGAGGCCAGTCTTGTGGGACTCCGCCCTCCTTAACTCATGGAGTTGCATTCCATCTCCGGGCAGATAGTGTCAGAATTGAGTTAATTCTCAGAAACCCTGCTTTTGTTCGAGAATTGTTGTGTGAGGAAGCATGTGCATATGCACTGAAATTAAGGTCTGGGAACTCTTTTCATTTCTTGTAATACTTACCCTGATAATATTCATTACAAAAGTGTATTAGTGCACACTCTTAGCTTAGCAATAAAACACTAATATATTGCTAATTCAGAATCTCCGTGTTATAGAGATACTGATACAAACAGCAAGCGATCGCTGTGTTGTAGTTAAGGTATAAGGAAGTCTGAATCTGACTTGACTAAAAGATATATTCCGAAAACACTGGGGGCCTTCTGTTTGTTTTAAGCACATCTCTGATATTAGGATGCCATCCTTACCCTTGTCAAATGCTGAACTGGTGAAATCTTAGGTAATAGATCAAATACCATTAGTTGAAAATTTATAAAGATCTGTGACCTATAATGAGTTGATGGTTAAATGTTCCAACTATGTGCACTTGGGCAAGTTAACCTCTGTAAGCCTCAGTTTCCTTATTATTAAATTGGAAAGCTACCCCCCAAAATAGTGACCTCAGCCCGACCGGTGTGGCTCAGTTGGCTGGGTGCCGTTCCACAAGGCAAAAGGTCTTGGGTTCAGTTCCTGGGTTGTGGGTTTGGTCCCTGGTTGGGTGTGTATGAGAGGCAGCTGATCCATGTTTTTCTCTCACATTGATGTTTCTCTCCTTCCCTGTCTCCCTCCCTTCCCTTCTCTTTAAAAATAGCTACCTCACAGGATCATAGGTAATAAATATGTAAAGCACCTAGTCCAGTATTTGACAACATATGATAAATAGTATCTATTTCCAGAAATATTAGCTAAGATGAAATATTAGCTAAGATGAGACATTTTATAACAATTTTAGCTATATTTAATGATAAAAGTCTTCCAACTACTATGTATTTAAAAAATAAATGTACAGTGACAGATGGTTATTAGACTTATTGTGATCAGTTCATAAGGTAAACATTGAACTATTATGCTGTACACCTGAAACTAGTGTAATATTATGTTGTAACTAAAATAAAAACAATTTTTTAAAGATTTTATTTATTTATTTTTAGAGAGGGAAGGGAGAGAGAAAGAGAGAGAGAGAAACATCAATGTGCGGTTGCTGGGGGCCATGGACTGCAACCTAGGCATGTGCCCTGACTGGGAATCAAACCTGTGATGCCTGGTTCAAAGCCCGCACTCAATCCACTGAGCTACGCCAGCCAGGGCTTAAAAACAAATTCTTAATGAAATTAATGACAAGATGACTTGAAATGAAGGCTAGGAATGAAGGATGCCAAGCATGCCGACCATTTCCCTGCCTCACAGGCAATCAGCACTGGCCAGGCCAACAAGGATTCTTAGCCTGAGCGCCAAACTGCACCTGTGGCCGCTTTGATTTTGGTGGATGCAGCAAAGCTCCTTCTAGCATTAAACCTCAAGAAGCAGTGAAAAGCCACAAACCAAACATTTCAAATGAGAACTCCCAAGAATATGTGTTTGGCAAGCATTTTTTTTTAATTAACAAAAGATACTGAAACAGTCAAATTCAAATGAACTATTAGACTCAAAAAGTTCCAGTTTCTAAGTCACAAAATCAACACATAATGGAAAAATTCACTGACATTTAAAAATGTAAGATTAATTCTTTTCATTGAGTTCCTCTACTTGTGTTGGCAAATATAGAGAGCGACGTAGCCGGTTCAGGGATTCTTTAGCCTGTCAACGAGAAAAAGAAAAAGTCCCTGATCAGAGAGCAAAGGAAACACACCAGCATGCCTGCTGGAGCGGACACGTCTCCTTAGGTCAGTCCATACCCTCAACTACCAGTGGACAAATGCCCGATGTCTCGATTTCATGGATCCTTTCTTAATATAAAAGGCAAGTGTAAGGTTTCTAATACATCCTTATAGTTCTTGCTACGTTAGTTTCCCCCTTTATAATGTTTTTTCTGGTTCAAATTAAAAAAACAAAAACAAAAACCCACTCTGTGACCTGTCAGCTTCTCCTTTCTCAACTTTATTACCTTAAAAAAATAATACTTCACAGATTGCTTTTTTAAGTCTTAAATGCCCAGTGCTATAAACTAGTTGGAAACATTCCTTAGCCTTCCTGGGTTGGATCATGCAATAGAAGAGTATCCCCGAAATTTTTTAAAAAATGCATCATTGTATTTCTCCTAAATACTGAATATATAAAATTTTTTTTAAAAATCTTTTAAATCTCTTTAACTCCAATTTTTGGGTTACAAATTTAATTTTAGTTATTTTTTTTTAAATTGAGGAATGGGTAGTTGAGAAGGTACAGATATCAAAAGATACGATGATTACTGGCTAGTAAATGAGTATACATTGAGCAATGGAAGATATTTTTACCAGAACATTTTTTCTTATAAAATTACTATGAAAAATCAAAACTCTAGTTACATGCTGAGAAGTCACCATATGAACAAGCTAATGAGTCTGTGGGGAGACCCGAGATAAAAGCTGCCTGAGAAACAGGCCCCGGAGACAAACTCTCGGTGTCAGACCCTGGTTTCCCCACTTTCCAACCGTGTATAACCAGCCAAGTGACATGAAGCACCTTTAGCTTCTTATGTGACAGACAAAAGATTAAAGGAGGAATACCATATTGATTTTTCTATTTTTAAAGAGAAAAAACTTGCAAATGCCTTTAGAAAGCTTAAAATGATCAGTGTCTACTATCCTAAAATTCTTTGTTTTTGATAGGTTACAAATCTGCAAATGAGCTTGATACTGGATTGTTTTCCTGAAAAACAAACACTTGCCTGGAAATAGATTGCTACTGAAAACTATTACTTTACTATCTCAAAGTCATTTAACACTTTTTCACATACACATTTAAAGCTATTGCCACTTCAAACACAGAAGACAATAAAACAGTAGGATATGGAATTAGTATCAGACTAGTCAACTATTTTACTGAACAAACCACAGTACATGGAAAATTTAACCTGTGAGGATAAGCCACCTATTATATTTCCTTGACACTAAGTTTTGGCTCCCAAAGAAAACCAGCTATAAGATGCTGTGTTTACAATAAAGTACCTTAGCAAGATCTTCTTTTAACTTGTTGTATTGCACCACATCAAAATGCTGTTGCTTTGATTTCTTATAAAAGAAGTGAAGAAATTGCCTACTCTTAATAGCTGAGTAAGTATAATCCTAAAAAAAGAAAAAGAGAACATGTTTTAAGTGAACCTAACGCCTCCACAAGAAAGATACTTGCCTTAGCAACACCAAAGCAAAGGCGGATGAGTGAAATACTTGCAGTGGCTACCAGAGCCGGCATAAGGCAACACAAGTACAACGTTTAGTTTCTTAGTCTCGGCAGAGATCAGCTGCTCCTTTCAAAAGCAAACGAGCCAGGAAGAGCAATCACAAACCGGGACAGAAGGAAGAAAGGGGGAAATGGAGATGTTTGGCAAAATAATCACAAGATAAAGCAAAAGTTACTGGGTGTTTTTCAATACAAATTCAGTTTTATTTATAAATGAGGGAACAAAAGAATGTAAATTTGATGTGTTGATCTCAGTGGAGGAATCTGAGTTGTAATATTTATTTCTCTATAGAAGTTACATATTATTTCTCTGGGCTGTATATAAATCTCCATCCTCATGAAAACAACAATGAAACTTACTGGCTTATAGAAACCAGAGAGCAGTAATTCAGTAACTAAAAAGGCTTTATTGCTTATTAGTTGACCCGGATAAGGAAATATTTGCAGATGTTCTGACTTACTATTTTCCTAACAAACTACTCACCTGTCGAGTGACTATAAAGTATGCAAAAAAGACCATGGAATTTGCAAATGTGATGAAGTATGTGACTGGTTCCATGATATCCCAGGAGTACACCCACCAGGTGAGCCAGGCCAGTGCCCCGCCCTGGACGGACAGCAGTGCTAATCCAGCCCACAGGAGTCTTCTGGTTCTGGCTTCGGAGCGAGCTTCAATTCTAGCTTTCATCTGAGGGGAAAAACAAAGGGTATTAGTTCAGTTTATAAGAAGAAAAGAAACAACAATAATGGACATCTGCGTTACTTTAAAGAGGTTGATTTATGAAGAAACAATTTAAAAACATCAATTAATGAGTGATCGATCACCTATTTCCAAATCAGTTAATAAATCATTTTTTATATTATAAAGGCAATGCCTTCTCATAAAAAAAAATTTAAGTAGAATAGATGGGTACACAATAAAAAACTCAGAAGCTCTGAGACCTACTTAAAGTCACAGGCTGATTTTCTTCAAAACAGCAATTTCACTTCTGGGAATCCATACTGCAGGTGTTCTTGCTCACATGTGATTCACGATAGATTCAGTTTTAAGAGCAAAACACCAAAAATTGTCCATATATCCATGAAGCTACTGTGCAGCTGTAATGAAAAAGCTCTCTATGTGCCCATTCGGTGATCTTTCCAGGACACAGGCACGCCTCGGCATACTGCAGGTCGGACGCAGACCACCCCAGTGAAGCGCATACTGCAATCAAGTGAGTCACACAAATTTTTGGGGTCCCAGTACATGTAAGAGTTATGTTTACACTATACTGTAATTTATTAAGTGTGTAATAGCATGATGTCTAAAAAGCAACATACATACCTTAATTTAAAAATACTGCTCATGCCCTGGCTGGTGTGGCTCAGTGGACTGAGTGCCAGCCTGCAAACCAAAGGGTTGCTAGTTCAATTCCCAGTCAGGGCACGTGCCTGGGTTGCGGGCCGGGTCCCCAGTTGGGGACCTTGTGAGGGACAACAAATCTATGTATCTCTTGCACATCGATCCTTCTCTTCCTCTCTTTCTCCCTCCCTTCCCATCTCTCTAAAAATAAATAAAATCTTAAAAATAAATAAAATTTAAAAAATACCACTCAAAATGCTAACCATCATCTAAGCCTTCAGTGAATTGTTATTTTTTTTTGCTGGTAGAGGATCTTCAATTTGGAAAAAAGCGCAATATCTATAAAGCACAAAAAGTGGACAGAAATAAAGTGAAGTGGGCCTGTGCACTGCTAGTGAGAAAAGGTGAGAACTGTGTGTAACAGCCCATGCCCTCTTCTGAAAAAGGGAGGAAATAGTATTTGTATTTATACATAAAATCTGACATGGTTCACAGTTTAGGGCTATGGTACTGGGAGGGCAGTGGGAGAAAAACTTTCCATGGGCCACTTTTTAATTTTTTTATTCTTAATATAAATAGATATAGCACCAAATTTTTAAAAAGTAAAGAAAAAATTAAAATGTAGGTATATAATCCAACAAATAATATAAAAAAGTCCCTCTCTCAGCCATCCCCTAAATATCCTACGAGTTAATCACTATTAAAAGTTTCTTCTCTCGCCCTGGCTGGCGTAGCTCAGTGGATTGAGCACGGGTTGCGAACCAAAGTGTCGCAGGTTCGATTCCCAGTCAGGGTACATGCCTGGGTTGCAGGCCATGACCCCCAGCAACCGCACATTGATGTTTCTCTCTCTTTCTCCCTCCCTTCCCTCTCTAAAAATAAGTAAAATCTTAAAAAAAAAAAAAGTTTCTTCTCTCCAGAAACTTTCCACTCATATACAAAGTTATAGGTACCCACCTATATTTAAAAATCACAAGTGGAATCACAGGTTTAAAAAATGCTGTTTTTTTCCTTAAATTAAAAATGACTCCACCACCTTCTCCTGTAAGTTATTTTTTTCTCTGTCACTGATTAACTCCACACATTAGGAAGCCGTCACTAACTTTCCAGCTCCGATTCTGTTCAGCAGAGCTGGGGCCACGGCCTGTTCTCTGAAAGGGAAAGAGCGGCCCAGCGCAGCCAGGGCATCCCCGCATACACAGCCCTCGTTTACAAGGTGCTTCTGCCCTGCGGCGGAGAGGAAGCAGGGCACAGAGTATAAGACGACAGCTTGAGTCAGACCACCGGAATTCGAGTTCTGGCTCTACCACATATTAGCTTTGTGCCTCTGGTGTCTTAGTTTCCCCATCTACAGAATGAGGGAGATAACGGTAGCATACTCGTGGCTCACTGTGAGGGTGAAAGGAGAAAATGAGTAAGGGTAAAACATTCAGAAAATGCTCACATGGACAGTGCTCCACAAAACCTGGGTATTATTTTCAGACTCAGCTGTGAGGCTTCCTAACCTGTTCGAGGGGCTGCAGCTGTCCCTTCAGGTGGTCAATCTTCTCGAGTAAACGGTGCTCTCTCTTTTTATGGATCTCGTCTAAATGCAAGGCTGTAAACAGTCTGTGAACCAAGGATTTCATGTTTTCCACTTCAGTAGTGTGCTCACTACTCAGTTTTTCTGAGAAAAGACAAAAGGGAAACATAAGGCAGTCATCACATGTTTTCCTCCGGGGTCTGTAAGCCCAGGGAACCAAATCTGATTCCCTGTGGCTGGTTAGCCCTCCCTGCTTCTTGGGTCACATTTGGTAAGGGCATTTCTTCCCGCCTCAGGTGATTCTCCGAGTCCCTCTCATATAAAGACAATCTGGAATGATAAATGATCAGACAGTAGGTTTAAAATTACGTTTCTGTCTTTTTTCTTTATATGACTTTTGCTCTTTAAAATTTTTCATACAGAAAGAGTAAGGAGAATATCCATTTACCAGAACCCAACTGAATAAATATCTCATCTTAGTTTGTAACACAGTTTATGGTCTCACTTTTATACCTGAGTTCCCTTTCCCCACTCTCCAACTGTTTATCCAAAAATTATTTAAGGATCCACAGGGGAGGGAAGCTGGTGTACAAATATGTAAACAAAAGTATAGTATACATTTGAAAAGCAATTGAAATGGAAGGTCTTTACAAGGAACAGATCTGAAAGGAGGTTCAGATCAACAAGAAAGGGGAACACCACTTCTGAGTCTTTCAAATAGAATTCTTTTGATTATGGATTTCTCTCATCCTTTCCCCTGTGGATCTATGAATTCACATGATATTAGGCTGTCATGATACCTTCCTGGGGGTCATACCTGGTCCCCACCCATGGAACAGAACTTGAGGGAAGGGGACAGGTGAGAGGAAGGGAAGATGGACCTTCCCGCCAAGCAGCAGCGAACAATGCAGACAGAGATTTATGATCCTGGAGTCAGTATTAGCCCAGTGATCCTCCAGGTTTTGCCAGCAGTTCTGAAGTTATTTCTCTTCCACTTCCACCCACTTCTTCAAGACTTTATTGTGGTCTTTAATCCTTTCCACATTCTAAGTTAAAGCTGCCTCAAAGAGGTAAAAACTGGAAGTTCCCTTCTCAGCTTTTGAGATTTGCAAAACAGTCAGAGGTTTGGATGGAATATGTATTGACATTTAAAAGGTCTCCATACAGAAGAAAGGTATATAGATGGGGCACAATTTTGTCAAAAACTGTGGAATGTATCAAAGATAAACAAAGCCAGACATCAGTCAAAATGGTAAAGACAGATTTTATTCAGTAAGTATTGCAACAGGGAAGAGGATCCAGCAGGAGCTGAACTCAATTTTAATTTGTCCACAGGTGGCTGGGCATTTTAAGGGGCGGGGGGAACATCAGGGGTAGGCAAAGTCAGGGAAGTGGAAATTTACAAAAACTGAAAATAGGTTTGGGTTACTGAGACTAGACCATTTCGATATGTGAGCTGACCTAACCCAGAAAGGTAACAACCAGAACTGCAATGGTGCAAGTCAGAACAAGGGGCCCGCCAGGCTGGGAGTGAGGGCAAGAGTGACCCCCGTGGATGTCCACATTGCAGAGAGGAGCCAGCTCTGGGTGTCGGAGGCTGACACTCCAAAGGAGTAAAGAAAGGATTTACAATCACAAGCTTTCTAAAGTGACTGCTCTGAGAAGGGGCTCAGGCCTATCTGCCTATTGCCAGGTTTTCACTGGAACAGCCGGTAAATTCCCCTGCCAGTGCTGAGCTTTCTCAGGCAAGCATTTTAAGGGGCCAGGAGTCAGCATCCTAGGGACATAGCCTTGAGCTGTTAGAAACTCTGCTGGTGTTTATTTAAGTCCTGTAGTGTGGGTGGTTGGCGTGTGGCGTAAACAGAATCGATTGTGCTGAGAGTCCACAGTTTTTGCCGGCCGAGGTGAGGCCTCATTAGGAAGCGGGCTCAGACAAGCCTGACTGAAGTCTGGTCAAGGACGCGGTCTTTGTTAAGTGACACAAAATGTTCGCCTAAGTTCAGTGACAGAAACTTTGGCAATACTCTCTCAGAAATGTGGGCACTGCAGAATTCCTAGGTCATATTACCAATTGAAACATTTGTCTCTGGTATCTCCTAACAAAAGCCAAAATGGGGAAGAATTATTTTCTTTTTCTTTAGAAGCTGTTTATTCCTTTTACATGTGCCTTTCATGTGGATTTTATTTTCATATCCTGAATTTTCAAATCCAGATTTCACAATGCTTTAGGAAAGAAATGGAATTAAGCACATTTTTTAAAACTGCAAATTTATCATTTTATAAACTTCACTTTCCATTCACCTAGTAGGATTCCTGTCATTTTCCCTCCAACAGGGCCCACTGTGCCCTGCTAATCTGATTTACATCCCCGGGCTGGGCAAGTCTGAGTCAGGGTTCAGTGAGGCACCCCCAGGGCAGTGTGGCTGCGCTCAGGGGCCGCCTGTCTGCAGGGCAGGCCTCATTCCCATCCACTAAACACGTACCTGCTTGGCTCCTTTTGCCCAATACATCATGTACAGATTTCCACAACAAGACTACAAAGCAAGGTAAAAGGCAAGAAAAAACACAGTGTGAAGAAAGAAAACAAGAATCAGAGCTAGAATCTGATATGGCAGAGATTTTGGAATTGTCAGACCATGACATTAAGATAAATATGATTAATGTGGTAAGAGCTGTGATGAAAAAAGTGGACAACGTGTAAGAACAGATGAGTAACATAAACAGAAAGATGGAAATTCTAATAAAAAGTCAAAATCAATCCTGGCTGATGGCTCAGTTGGAGCATTGTCCTGTACGTCAAAAGGTTGTGGGCTGGGTCCCCAGTCAAAGTGCCTAGGGAAGGCAGTGGGTCAATGTTTCTCTCTCACTGATGTTCCTCTATGTCGCTCCTCCCACCCACCCCTGCCACCTTCTTCTCTCTCTAAAATCAATAAACATATCCTCGTGTGAGGACTTTTTGACAAATCAAAAACAATTGCCAGAAACCAAAAACATATAATAGAAATGGAGAATGCCTTTGATGGTCCCAACAGTGAACTGGACAAAGGGGAGGGAAGAGTCAGTGGGCTTGCGGATATGCCTACGACACTTCCCAAACTGAAGGACAATGGAAAAGGAGAATGGGAAAAAAGGGACAGAATATCCAAGAGCTGTGGTACAATTACAAAAGGTAATTATAACATGCAACATGGCAGTACCAGATGGAGAACAGAGAAAGGAACAGGAGACCGGCAATTTAAAATGACTACAATTAACATGATAAGGACTCTACTAAAAAAGTAGGTAGCATGCAAGAACAGATGAGTAATAAAAGCAGAGAAATATAAATTGTAAGAAAGAATCAATATGAACTCTTAAAGATCAAAAACACTATCAGAAATGAAGAGTGCCCTTGACAGGCTTATTAAGTAGATGGGACACAGCTAAGAAAAGAATTTCTAAGCTTGAGGATGTGAATAGAGATTTCCCAAACTGAAAGAGAGAGAGAGAGAGAGGACACTGAACAAAACAGCAGGATATCAAATAATTCTGGTGTACTACAAAAAGTGTGATATACATGTAAAAGGACTACCAGAAGAAAGAAAAGAAAGGAGGAAAAGAAAGGAGGAAAAGGAAGGAAGGAAGGAAGGAAGGAAGGAAGGAAGGAAGGGAGGAAGGAAGGGAGGAAGGAAGGGAGGGAGGGAACATATTTGGAGCAATAATGACTAAAAATTTCCCATAGTAATGCCAGACAACAAACCATAAACAGTTCCAGGAAGTTTGGAGAATATCAAGAGGATAAATGCCCCCAACTTCCCTAACCCAGGCATATCATATAAACTGAAAAACATCAAACAAAAAATCTTGAAAGAAGACAGGAAAAAAAAATCTTACCTATAGAAGAGCAAAGATAAAACTTACATCTGACTTCTCCCAAGAAATTATAGAAGGAAGAAGGGAATAGAGTGATATATTTACAGTGTTTAGAGAAAAAACTCACCAACATAGTATTCTGTATCCTTCAAAAGTGAAAGGGAAATGAAGACCCTCAAATGAAAAGAAATAGAGGGAATTCATTGCTAGTACATCTGCTTTGCAAGGAATGTTAAAAGATCTTAAGGGAAGGAAAATGATATAGAAAGAAAGAAAAAATCTACATAAAGAATCTACATAAAGAAAGAAATCTACATAAAGAAATTCTACATTAAAGAAAGAATGAAGGAAGACAAAATCAAAACTTTTTTTTCCTTTTCCTTATTCTTAATTGAAAGAACAGTTTTTCAAAAGAATGATAGTAAAAATGTATTCAACAATTATAGTTTATATATAAGGGAAATGAATGACAAGAAATGGGAGAGAAAGATCAGGAATATATGGTTATTATAAGGTGCTTGCAGTGCTTGTGAAATAGTATATATAATGTTATTTGAAAGTAGGCTTGGATTACTTGTAAATGTATATTACAAAACCTGGGGCAACCACTAAAAATATTTTTAAAAGAAGTATTACTGATATGCTAAGAAAGAAAATAAAATGGAATCATACAGAATATTCAATTAAAATCACAAAAAGACACAGGGATAAAAAACTAGGGGTGGGTGGAAATGGGAGGGAGGAGAGGAGGGCTGGGTGGGTGGGCTGGGAGTAAAAGATAGAAAATTGTACTGCAACAACAATTAAAATAAAATTCAAATAAATAAATAAAATCACAAAAAGCAGCCCTGGTTTGCTGTGACTCAGTGGACTGAGTGCTGGACTGAGAACCAAAGGGTTGGCGGTTCAATTCCTAGTCAGAGCACATGCCTGGGTTGTGGGCCAGGTCCCCAGTGCGGGGCATGTGAGAGGCAACCAATTGATGTTTCTCTCAAACATGGATGTTTCTCTCCCTCTTGCTCCCTCCCTTCTCTTGTCTCTAAAAAAGTAAATAAATCAATCAATAAATCAATAAATAAATACCTTTAAAAAAAGGACATAAAAAACAGAGACCACTTGAAAGACAAAATTAGAAACAAAGAATAATGGCAACAAATAGGAAACAGTAATCCTCAATAATATTAGCATATTGAATCCAACAATGTATAGAAAGAATTATACACCATGACCCAGTGGGATGCATTGCAGGTATGAAAGACTGACTCAACATTCGAAAATCAACTAATGTAATC